GTGAAGTGTAATAATATAAAAAGATACAACAGACTCATTATAGAAATTGAAATAGAAATTAAACAAAATTGAAATAATATTCATTAGGTTAATCGATTTGTTTTTATTTTTTTTTTCATATTTCATAAGTCTATGTTATTATATAAATATTACGTTCATAATAGTTATATAGGTACGAAAATATGCAGTAAATCTAGTACGTCACTAGGTAGCATCAAAGTCTCAAACGTGCATACCCGTACAAATTTGTGACCGGTGTCCCACCCTCCCCCTGAGAGGAGTGTCCAGTCCTATGTAGTAGTTCGTGCAGTAAACAAAACGTTTTGGCGATATACCCACCAAGTAGTTAATTGAACAAACAATTCTAGTAACCTGGTTGCTCAAAACTGCATCGCCAAAACACGCCTAAAGTATTGTAGCGTTGTAGGTAGGGGACGGGATTTTTTTTTTTAACTCGCGGAACACAACATTTTTTGAAATGTAACATTGTAAAAAAATTGGGATATTGACGTCCCGCTATATTAAAAAACGGGAATCGGGTCACTAAAAAAAAATTAATTATAAATAGATTGGGTATCAGCTTTAATAAAGTGAAATAATTAACAAAAATTATGATTATTCTAAAATTAATACCTACCTACTACTGATATTTTTCAGATGATCTTATTTTTTTCAATACCCGAACGCAGGTATTTCCTATAATCTTTAAAAAGTAGTTATAAAAATCTAAAAACAAATCAATATTGTTTTAATGTTAGATACTACAAATATTTTGTTCCAAGTAGTTGTAAAAAAATCGGGACTTTCTTGTCTCGCTGGCTTGTGAGACGGGACACGGGACAAAAATTTAAAAAAAGCGTGAAAATCGTGAGACGCGGGACAAGTATATTAAAAATCGGGACGTATCCCAGCCCTAGTAGACAGTAGTTGTAGGTGGTAGGTTCCAACATTATTTTAGATTCTGAGTGGAACGATGAATGTATTGATTTTACACTGATGTGTGTTTTTATATTTTTTTTTATTTTTCAATTTTTTTTATTTTTTTATTTATTTTTTTTGTGTCTGTGTACACGATAAGTAGTCGAAATAATGCTTCGATTTTCGACTTCAGTATCTTGTTCGATTGGAAAGTGAATATCGTTGGTGCATTGGGCAGGTCAAAATTTAAAATTCCCAGTACTTTTCAAAAGCACCAAGAAAAACAAAAGAAAAATTAAGGAAAAACGGGAATTTTTACGCAAAATCGATTTTTCAGAAAATTGAATTTGGTTTTGGTGTAACTTTAAAACAAATGACCGTAGATACATGCAATTTTCACTGGTTGTTTATATTTGCATTTTCTATACACGATAACATTTTCAAAATATTTTGATTTATTTTGAACGGTTTAGGGACATTTTCATTTTTCATTTTTTTTTAGTTTTTTTTCTAGAAATATCAATAAAATTTTATTTGTTGGTTAAAAACACTTGAAAATTTAATAGAAGGCTCCTAGTATATTGTTTCAAAGGCAGATGAAAAATATTAAAAATCGTTAGTCACAGTTTTTTTTTATAAGCATTTAAAGTTCAAAAATTGACAAAATATGGAAAAATCACGAAAATTAGCAAATTATTTTGAGTTAAGAATTCGTAAAAATTTTTCTTTTTAAATCTAAGATTTGAAAATGTAATACAAGATTCCTTATAAGATCATCTACCTTTATCAAGACAAAAATGTCTATAAGAAAGTCAAATTAAATGTTTATGAGTGTTTGAAATTCAAATTTTTACAACATTGGATATTCACTCGATTTCTCATGTAGCGATTTCCTTATTTTGTTGTAATTCAAAAACGAATAACTGTAGATACATGAAAATTTCATTGAATGTTTATATCAGCATTATATAGCATTTTCTATACACTGTAAAATTTTGAAAATATTTTGACTTTTTTTGAGCTGTTTACGGACATTTTCAGTTTTCAATTTTTTTAGTTTTTTTTTTTCTATAAATATCAATAAAGTTTTATCTGTTGGGCCAAAAAGTGTAAAAATTTAATATAAGGCTCCTGATATATTGTTACAATAGCAATTGAAAAATTTTAAAAATACATAGGCACATATTTTTTTTATAAGCATTTAAAGATCAAATTTTGACAACATTTATCAAAATCTTGAAAATTATCAATCATTGTAATTAATAAATTATAAAATGTTCAGTTTCTATAGCTAAGGTTTGCAAATTTAAAACAAAGGTTCTCATAAATAGTTCATACTGTAACCAAAAAATCTAAAAAATATATGAACACAGTTTTTTTTTACAGACATTTTAAATTCAAATTTGGACGAAATTACATAATAAAAAACTTAGAATAACTATTTTAGTTATTTTGTTGTGATTGTATAATATTTTTCGTGGGTACTTGAAACTTCTAAAGTAATCTACTATATATCTATGATAGTATCAGGGTTTGTTGTTGCTGTATAACGCGTTATAACTTATAAGTACCTATAATGGATATTGTGATATGATTAATTTGGAATTTATTATAGGTCAATTCTTTGTTTAATACCATAGATATGTAGATTGTAGGTACCTATATAATGTCTTATACCTAGACTGACATACCGTCTCCGCTCAGAATCGTTTTTCTTATACAATGATATTATTTCGTTGAATTCAAATTTAAGATCAACCATTATACAGTGACCCACTTGTAACCTACTGTACAGCAGAGCGACACCCACTTGCCCACCTTTTTTAGTATTCATTGCCCAATGTCATTAATATTAGGCCGTGTCACCATGTCTATCAACATTACTATTTATTACATTAGAGACATTTATGGCACAATGGAAAATCCGCACTTGTATTTATATATGTACCTACTAATGTCCAATTAGTAATTTATTACCAATGTTCATTGCATTAATGCAAAATATTTTTTTCCACTGTGATAACACAGTTTTGCGTATAGACATACTAACAAATGGATTAAATATTAATAAATGAACTGATTGTAGTTTTTTCTGTTATTATTTACTTAAACCATACTCTATAGTCTATCTCTTTCATATAGGTACATGTATAATCGGGCCGAAGACAGCTACTGCACCTACTGTATGAACCCCGACGATACGGCGGAGCATACGCTCTTCGCGTGCCCCAGGTGGGAGGACGAACGGGCCGTCCTGTCCAGGATTCTCCGACGCCCACCGGAGCCTGGGGACGTGCAGGAAATCCTGTGTGGCCCTCGGCCCGACAGCCCGGTGTAGGATCGTAGAACAGTCCAACATCAATAGAAGGGAGTTCATGGTGATGGTGGAAACAATTATGAGCACGAAAGAAGCGGACGAACGGGAGGAGCAGGCGCACGATGAAGAACGGCTAGCAGACACTATTAGACTTCGCAAGTCGCAACAGCGAAGGAGGTGTCACCGACCACCGTTCTTCATCCCCCCACCAGTGACACCACGGGCGGGACGGCGATCTCGGCATCTTGCAAAAATTGTTAATATCATGTAAAAGAGGGGGGTAAGTCGGGCCAGTCGGGGTATTGTCCCGTCTACCCCCCTCACGTATGTATAATTATTTGATGCATTGATTTTTCAAATAAACGATGGCGGCGTCGCGGAAGTATTGCGAAAACAGTCCCCGCGGCGCCGTCGGTTCAAATACGAAAAAAAAAAGGTACATGTATAATATCTTTTATCTCTTTCTAACAATGTTGGTCTCACGGTGACATAGGGGTGGGGGGGCAGTCCATTTATTAATATGTCTATGTCATACTAATGGACAGCGCATTCCACTCCGCCCTGCCCACAATGCTCGGGAATCGTATAAGAGAAAGAAAGAAGAAATAACGAAGAGAGCAAAGAGAGAAAGAACATAATGTGGGATAATCATAGCCCTAAGAAACTAAATCGTGGGCAGTGTGCATAGGCCAAAATATGGTTCATCGTTCTTAGTCAATACTCAGGTATACTGTGGTTGTAGGTATACCTACTATACTTACTTCTTAAAGGTATATTGAAATTAAGCGAAAAAACCTGTCAGAAATAATCAAAATTTAAGAACAAATTGATACGTAATAATTACGTACAGATGATCTGAGTCCAATACCGAGCCAATATGTATTGCAAATGACATATTGTTTTCTTAAACCCGCAATAGACTCACATTTTTTTACTAAAATATAATGAAATCAATACATATTTCCAATTTTATCCACCCATGAAAATATAATATTGCCGTCGTCATTATTAATACTTACTCTGTGGTTAACAATTATTAAACCGCATCTAACAACACATTGTTAAAAGTTTATAATTAGTGCTTGTTTTTTAGTTTTTAAGAGTGACAATTTGTTTATTAAAATAAATTGAATTTTTTCTGTATTTATTTTTATGGCTGTTAATTGAAGAGTTGAAGACTTAATCACTATTCAATGATAAATATTTTCTTAATTTGTGTTACCTTTGTTTTTAAATTCTTAGTTTAATGATATACATTTTGAATTTATTTAGCAATAAATCTAAGTAGGAAGTTAAAGAATTTGAATATGTAATAACTTTACTGCCAAAATAATATTATGTGGTTTACTGTAACCTTTTAGTTACATTAAAATTTTTCCAGGATTCAGAATATTTAGTAGATTTAAGTTAGATCTAAAACCAGTAAAACCATGACCTGTTTCACCTACATAAATAAATAAAAAATGAATAAAGCTAAATTTATTTTTATTATATTTTATTTAATTTTAAAATTAACTGATACATTTTTTGATTTTTTTTAAATCAGTTAATTTTAACTATTTATTTGAAACACTAAATACTAAACAAATTAAAAAATGTACTAAAGCAGTTTCAGCTACTCAAATTAGATTTAGAAATGTAGGTAATACACAAAAAATAAGTACATAAACAATGTTATATAAGTACATCAAAAATATTTTGTGAGCGTAAAAATTAATAATAATAGTAGTAGGTAGTAGTAGTAGTAACTCTTAAACAGTCAACATTAATTTTTCTTTGAATTTTCATCAGTTACACCTGAAAACATAAATTAATTATAAATAAGATATCTAACTCTGCATTAATTCATAAAATAAGGCTAAAAATGTTTACTTTTTCCATCACATGCAACAATCTTCAATTTTTCGACTTTAGCCATTTCTTGTGTTTCTTTGAACTCTACATCACTTAACATGAATGTCCAAACATTATCACAAAATCTGTAAGTGTCCATTTTTCCAGCCTAGAATAGTAAATAAAACAATTGTTTTAAAAAAAAATATGCAAACATTTTTATAAAAGATTTCTTTTACTTTACATTAGTGTTTTTGGAAAACACTTTAAACATAACAAAAAAATTCAAAAAGTTGTATGTAATTTTTCAATACAATAATTTGAAAAATTATATTTATTTTAGTTTTAAAACAAAAAATTAACATTAAAGAAATATTGATAAACATTAGTTTAATCTTTTGTTTTATGATAAAAAAAAAACTTTAATTAGTATTTTTTTTTATTAGACAGGCCGTGTTGTATAAAAAATGAATTAATTTAATGGACCAAACATGGGTCACCACAAAATCATACTTAATGGTCCTTAGCTCAATATTTATACAATGAATGTTTAGTGATTGTTCATGCAACCCGGCTCTAAAATTGTAACACTTGGTGTCTAACACAATTTAAGATAGTAAAGTTGCCTAACAACTAATTAGAAAAATGTTATCACACACCAAATGATTTTAATCCAAAAGTCACGTGATCTGGTGACTTTTTTTATCTACAGAGCTACCAGTGGGCAGAGAGTGGTTAAGGAAAATTTGTTAAAATGTTAGTTAATTAAATATTAATAAATAATTTTTGTTTATTTTGTAATTTACTTAGAATATTTGATAATTAGTATACAGACTTTAATAAGATGAGTAAATAACACGTAAAAAAATAGTCCACCAGCAGAAGCGCTAGTACCGGCATACGGATTGAAATCCTATGCAGTCTTATCATAGCTCATTGGGCAACAATACTATCATAAATTGTAGTGTCTACTCAACTCCTATATCACAGATTTTGTATTGCCCTTGTTTAAATTTTAATGTAATATTTGCTACTGTATATACTGCCAATTGAATATGAGTTGAATTGTATAATATTTATGTAAGATGCTATTTTTATTCATTACAACGAGATTCTTATAGTATAGACTATAGATAATAATATAAATAGAACTAACAAATGAAAGCAAAATGCAATTTCATTTTGAGTGCTATAACTATTGCTATAGCTTTCTAGTTACATAATTGAATGAATATACGACATACCTACCAAAGAATTGTAAAATGTTATCTTAAATATAATTAGAACAATTTTATCTATAGATTTAAATTTATTGGTGAAATATGGTATCTTTTAATATTATATCTATACTCAAAAACTTAACAATAGGTAATAAATTAACACGAGAAAAACTAAATAATAGATTTTTCAAATACTTCAATCTTAAATTTGGATACTGAAATAAGATTTAAATTTTAGTTCATGAAGGTACACATTTTATAATATAGATTGAAATGATTATAAAATATTTATAATAAACATAACAAATTTAGGTTAAGTTCAATTTTATTTTTATTAACGATTCTAAGAGCATAGTTTATCTTTGAACTATGAATAATATTTATACTCTACTATTTATAATAAACATAACAAATTTAGGTTAAGTTCAATTTTATTTTTATTAACGATTCAAAGAGCATAGTTTATCTTTGAACTATGAATAATATTTATGCTCTACTATTTATAATATTTATTTTGTAATGAGTATAAATATTATTCATAGTTCAAAGATCAACTATGCTCTTTGAATCGTTCATAAAAATAAAATTGAACTTAACCTAAATTTGTTATGTTTATTATAAATAATTGTAATACTGTGACACCAAATGTATAGACAATTTTTTTAATAAATACCATAAAACGCTTGAACATTATATACAAATAAATAATGGATTCCTGCATGTTTATATACATAACTGTTAATTTAATCCTTATTATTATAAACAGTGTTGGGTAAGTTACTTTTAAAAAGTAATGAAGTTACTTTACTCGTTACTAAAATAAAATTATTTTACTTTTCAAATAGAAAAGTAACTCATTACTTTCTCGTTACATAAAAAACATATTTTTTTTTTCAATTTCTTGGTAATTATCTTCAGCAGGCAAATTGAACAAACAAATTCTTTATAAAACCTGTCTTCCCCACAAGCTATTCATACGAATCAAATTAAATAATAAATTTAATTAACTGTTCTCGTGATTTAGGTGCAATTAGATATTTCAAATGTCAAAACCATTGAAAACTGAATTGTGTCAAAACCATTGGAAAATTAAACATATATACATATTAGATTGGTAAACATAATAATACCAGCATTATACATATTTCTTTTTCAATTCGCAATAGGTATGTAGGTACTTAATAATTCGAAACTGTAACACGTTATTCTATAGAAATTAATTTTCAAAAGTAATTTCCATTACATTTTTGTTACTCGGAAATAATTCTAATGAAATTATGTAACACGTTACTTTCGTTATGTTACTACCCAACACTGATTATAAAGTATAAACACATGTAAAACCACACTTATTAAGTATTTACGAAATTGTTTATTAATGCATATTAAATACATTGATAATTAGCTACCTAGATCACAGATTTTAGACAGAACCATTATAATGTGTAGATATGTAAGAATATGTAAAAAAAAAAAAGATGAAATATGAATTAATTATATTGATGTTCATCTTTATACAATGGTTGGGATAATTCTAATCAATGCTTGTAATAGGTTTAATAAAATACATAATCCACCATTTACCAAACCGATTCCTCAACATACGCAATTTGTGGCACTTATACTTATTAGTACCTATGTGTTGTTAATTTATAATTCTTCATCTAAAACAATTTACCTTAAATGTGATTTTAGACTTGACACGGGTGGCTAATGAATTGTTCACAGACTTATCGAACTGCAGCAGGATTTTCATGCCGAGAGCAGGTGTTATTTGACCATACTGAAACATCAAAATGTCCGATTTAGATATTATATTGTATAACAATACGTAGGCGCGAGCGGTCCACATTATTGTTTATTATAAAGGATGCATTATACCTGAATCATTTCGTCAATGCTCTCTTGAAGAGTATTCCCCAGAGTCGTGTTTCTGTACAGTTGATAAGACATATTGACACGAAACGAAGAATTAAAAATGTCTCGACGATCGGATAAAAGCGGTGTTGGGCGACGGACTGCGATTCAGTGAAGTGACATCGACATTTTAATATTATGAACGATAAAAGTTACCGACAAGCGACAACAAAAAAACCGGTGTAGCGTCTACCAAGTATCAGACCGAAATATCGATCCAAAGTACAAAACCAACAGCAGACGGCTCTCACACTCGCACGACCATAGATAATATGTTTAATCATGCGCACGACGCTCAAACGACAAATATTATCACTGATAACCACTATAGATAACGTTTAAACGGTTAGTGGTTCATTGTTACAAGGACGGCTGCGTCCGCCATTTTGTCGGTTGGCAAAACATTTCATTTATTATACAAATTACAAAATGTATTAGGAATAGTATTTTTTTTAATGGTCAAAATATAAAATAGTAAATGTTAATTGACTTATATAAAATATATTTATTTTTTTTTGTCAACAACATGATTATAAATAATAAAATACGATTCAAAATAAATCATAATATCATCTTATTTGACATAATATGAAATACCATACAATTGCCAACCGCCCTTGAAGCTTCAATTCATGGCGAGAGTTCGCTATCTAGTACTGTATAGAAATCTGTGGCCCTCAACCACTATCGTCTATAATACTCTATAGTTTCATACTTTCATGGCTATATTAATATTATAGTCGAATCGTGCCAAAGACCGTTACAAGATGTAGGTAAAACGTTGTAGTCACCCGAGTTTAAAATTGAGTCACGATCAGACGGCACTTTGGTTTGCGCACCTTCCGACAAGTACCTCTAAAAAGACAGACCAACTGCTGCTATCGAAAAGGTATTGTAATGCCGTTTTGAGTATTATCCGCGGTAAATTTTTAAAATGTCCACAGATGTATAAAACGACGTTGTTTTATATATCTGTGAAAATTTCAGACTTCAGTATTCATTCAAATTTATAGTAAATATAATCAAATATGCACTATGTAATATATAATACTACTTACAGATAAACTACTATCTTTCCGTGGTATTTTATTATTCCGTACAGCCATACAGATAGTACCTAAGTCCTACAAGATAAATAATTTTAAAATGTTCATGTTTATACCAGAATACTTGTATTAGGTAGCTGTTATATAGCTTTTTAAAATTATATTTTACATTAATTATGAACCTTTCAAATGTATGGATAACCAATTTAACTATACATTTAAAAATAATTTATTGGCTGAATACAACATAATTTGATTAATTAATTACTTACCTACATCGTGATCCGTTATTAACACCGTGATAAAAAAAAGTTCGGGATCTTTAATCTTTATAGTAAAACTACAATTTTTGAACGAATATAGTTTAGTTCCCAAGCGATTTTTTGGAATTTATTTTTTTAAATGAGTGTTTTTGCATGCTCAATTTGATGGTAGGTACTTTCAAAAAGAGTCACATAAAATTAATTTGGAAGTTATGATCGAAAAACTTCTAAATGTCCGTTTTTTCCAAATTGTATTTATATGCTCAACATTTTGGTGAAATCAGAATTTACCTATCGTATGGGTACTTATTTTTTATAGTTCATTTTTATTTTAATTTTTATAATTTATTTAAAATTAATCAATTACATTGTGGTAAACAACTGATTTTTTGGGATAAACTGTGTAATGATATGCTTACACATCATTATAATAAATAAACTAAAATTTGACAGAGAAAAGGAAACGTAAAAATGAGTCTCTGCCACTAGAGAATAATCTATAGTTCCCAGGCTCACGATAACCTTTTGATAAAGCCGCCTACCACACTCTACTCTACCCTACACTCTACTCAGTAGCGTAGCCAGGGTAATGAAATGAGGGGGGGGGGGGTTAAGTATAAATTAAACCAAGTTTTTAAAATTTTTCGTATACAAATAAATTTGGTATGTGATTGTGTAGTGTTTTTCTTATTTTGTTGTAATTCGAAAATGAATAACTGTAGATAGGTACCTAGTTGAAATTTACACCATAATATTATGTTTATTATTCCTATATGCTTGATAAAATTTGACAAACCATTTCTGCTCAGAACGAGGCTCAGAATCGTTTTTCATATACAGCAATGATATTATTATATCAAAATGAATTCAAATTTAACGTATTCCATTACAGTCACCTACTTGTAATAACTTGTAACCAACACATACTGGTCCTACTGTACAGCAGACTCAGCAGAGCGGCTTTTACTTCTCGCTTTTTTTAATTTATTTTCTATTTTCTATAAATATCAGTAAAAAAAATTTGGTTGGGTCAAAAAGCTTGAAAATATAATACAATATTCGGCAAAAGTAATTTTTTATAATTTATTTAAAATTCAAATTTTGACAAAATGCATTAAAATCACAACAATTTGTAAATTACTTTGTAGTTAAAAATGTATTAAATGTTCAATTTCTATAGCTACAAGGATTGGAAATGTATAACAAGGCTCCTCACAAAAAGTTCATTCTGTCACCAAAAAATCTAAAAAAATATATATACCTAAATACAGTTTTTTTTAATAGATATTTTATATTATATTATAATGTAATGATATGCTCAAGATTATTTACAATTTATTATTAAGAATTTAATGAAAATTCAATATTTATCAATCGCCAATAGTTGAAGAATTGTCAGAGAATTTCACTGCTATATTGATAAAGAGTCCACACACTTTTTTAAAGTATATATTGCTCATGGATAGTGTTAATAAGCAGATTGTATATCCAATTTTACATATACTTATGATGTTTAATATTAAGGGGCCTGCACGCGACCTGTTTTTTTGCTCAAAAACATGCCTTACAGGAAAAACTCTCACGCCTCGTAGATTGGTCCGATTTCCGTATTTTTTTTTTTGTTAGATAGAGGAAGACTTCTTACAGGGCGCATTGGACTTGGATTTTCAACATTATTTTTCTAAGTCTTATGTTACAAGTTTGAATTTAATCAATTTTTACAACTTTTTAGTTTTTGTATTATTTTTTGTTTTTAGCGACGTAATCAAAAATCGAAGTCCAATGCGCCCTGTAAAAAATATTCCTCTATCTAACAAAAAAAAAATTACGGAAATCGGACCAATCTACGAGGTGTGAGAGTTTTTCCTGTAAACTGAGTTTTGACCGATATAATACACCCTATCAACCCCCCCTAAATAGGTATTGGGTAGTAGATTAGTGGAAAAGTCTTATAATTGAGATGGCAACTAAAATATAAAATTTAATTTTCAAATTTTATAGAATTGCGGAAAATTTGAAAAATCGCGAGCAGGCCCCTTAACTTAATTTATTTAAATTTCACTAAATTTATTTAGATATTTATTAGATAATTATTTCTGTGATTAGTAGGTAATTACTATATTTTTTTTAAAAATGTTAATATAATGTAATTTACTTATATACCTGATATAAATATTATGTATTTATAGGTACTATGTGTCATACACGCATTTTTGAAGTAGGTAAATTACATAAAATATAAATCCATGATAAGTTATTATACAGTTATTCTGTATTTCTGTTGTTCATTTTTATAATTTTTATAACTCTGTAGAAGATGTACCTAGCTTTTCGATTAACAAAGATGGAACTTATTGTGCAATGTGCAAGGCCCAAAAATATAAAATTAGGCTTCACAATTAATTGAACTTAAAAGTATACCTAATGAATGTGAATCTGATTATTTTAAATCAAGGATTCTAATATCTAATATTGGTAAAATTAAAGTTATAATTTCCCTTTCCAGTCGATTTACTTTTAGACTAAATTTTAAAAGGTTTGAGATTAAATTATTTAAAAATCGAGTTCAACCAAGGTCTGTAGAATATAATTTTCTATTGGTTAAAAAAAAATATATAAAATTTGGTTGATTCTACAGAACAGGATCATTATTCTCTTAGAGTGTATTTTTGTCCACAAAAATCCAAATTATATTGGCGCCTTAAGGTAATTGTATATGAAATTATATTATCAAATTATACAAAATAGTTTTTAGTAAATAAAATACAATAATATACAAATCGTAAAATATAATTGCATACCTAACCTTTTTGACCTATTACAAAAATTTATGAACATAAAAAAAAAACGGTTCCATTTTACGGTCTGAGGGAGAATGAATAATATGTGGGAAAAGACGACCACGGTCGACGATCATATACGATATATTATTGTGTTCTGTCGTTTGTCGTTGTTTAACCGGACAGTCATTACTCATTATGTTTGGCCGGGTTGAAACACGACGATGTGTGCTCGTGTGCAGACAATATTTTTAACAAAACGAGATAAACATAAAATATGATGGATGGACGACGACGGTGATGGTAGACGGGTAGTAGTGGTATATACGAGTAAGAGCGAAAGAGTGAGTGAGGGAAAGACGGACTTTGAGAGAACGACAGAGAGAAGACGATCGAGCGTTGGCTGGAGGAGGTCACACCACACGATGATGCCAGTTAACACGCTGCGTAAGCCGTCCTAAACGAAAATTTTTAAACTCGAGAAAACGTGTGAATAGTTACATTATTATATTGTTATACCTACTATTGTATATTATATTTATATACAGATATATTATTCTCTGAACACGCGTAATGTGATATAGTATTATATACAGTATATACAGATAGGAAAACGGCGCGGAGATATGAAGTATAACAGACGCGATTATTGCCACTGGACACTGGTGGCTGGTGTATACAATTAACAAAACAAAAAACCTACGTTTGAGTGTATAGTATAATCAATAGTGTATTTAATATAATCAATTATACATTGACCCACTTGCATAAGCGGACATCGGGGGGGGGGCTTAGGGGGGCTTAGCCCCCCTAAATATTTTAATAGCCCCCAAAAATCGAAACTTAATTTGAAATGTCATTCGTTGTTTTCATAATTATGTTATCGTTTTGTTATGCATTATTATTAGTTTAACACATCTATCACATAAAACTAGTTTTGAAAATGT